TAAATGGCATTCTGCAAAGCGTACCCGGCAAAATGATTCATATACAGGGCATCATGATGCTTGGAGTGCATTAAAAAAAGAAACGGATTTTAGATAAGGAGGGAAATTCACTGCCGAAAAGTTTAAAAGTTAAACGTTAATTATAAGTACCAGCCATCCAGAACCGGTTTCTTTGTAATTGCAATCCATTGATGATTCCGCTTTATCGGTGTGCATAGGAAATTCCAAATAATTTTGTGCGCGCATGTCATAGAAAGACAATCGACCGAAACCGCCACCGGTTGTAATGATGTGATTGTCGAAATTCAAAGATCTGACGCCTGAAAAATGACGAATTGTGAATTTCCGGTCAAACGTAAAGTCAGACGAAGTAAAGAAACAATTACCCCAACCGTCATCAACCGAATCAATTTCATGAACTATCGATGTGGTCCTTGGATCCACAATCGAAATGTGCGCTTGAGATCCAACGGCAAACAAATTGACCTTTGAATTCATCGACAAGCACACATTTTCATTGGTGTGAACCAACGGGATCTTGGATACCTATGCGAATGTCCAAATGTCAATTTAGTTATGTGATCTAAACGAGATGATCAAAGGAATTCTGTACGTACTTGGTTGAGGTACGACGCGTCCCATAGTCTGACATAACCCTCCGTCGAGAGAGTCATGATTTGCTATAAAGAATTGCATGAATTAGGATGAAAAAGATCACCTGATATCAAGCTTATAAGAGGCATAGCGCAAATCACTAACAAGCGCGTTTCGGGAGATCACCGAATCTCTCAAAGTCGAGATCATAAGGGAGTTACAAACAAATATTTTTATTACAATTACCTGTGTGTTTGGATTGAATTGCAGGTCACGAACTTTGCCACTCCACTCCGATCGAATAAGCAAACATTGATGAACATTAATGTATTTCCTCGGGAGCAGTTGCATCTCGGAGATAATATTCGATTCCATTGACCAAAGACGAATTGTCCCGTCACGTGAACCTAAGAATTTCAAACGCGCACTTGAATTTAGTGTTTTCTAGGAAATGATGACGCGTACACGATTTCATACCTGAAACCAGGTGATCATCATCTATCCATGCAACTGAAAAGACCAAGTCACTGTGACCCTATGCACACGGGGGGGGGGGGGGGGGGGAAAAAAAAAAAAAAATTCCCAAAAAAGGACCAGGGGAAAATTAAGTAA